GATCTGCCCGCCTCAGCCTCCCAAAATGCTTGGATTACATGAGCTACCAAACCTGACCAGAACTGTATAATTTTAAATGGCTAAAATGGTAAATTTGATGTTATTGACATTTTGCCACAATTTTAAAAATTTACTTCACAAGATCCGGGCGCGGTGGCTCACGCCTGTAATCCCAGCACTTTGGGAGGCCGAGGCGCGTGGATCACGAGGTCAAGAGATCGAGACCATCCTGGTCAACATGGTGAAACCCCGTCTCTACTAAAAATACAAAAAATTGCCGGGTGCGGTGGCTCAAGCCTGTAATCCCAGCACTTTGGGAGGCCGAGGCGGGTGGATCACGAGGTCGAGAGATCGAGACCATCCTGGTCAACATGGTGAAACCCCGTCTCTACTAAAAGTGCAAAAAATTAGCTGGGCATGGTGGCGCGTCCCTGTAGTCCCAGCTACTCAGGAGGCTGAGGCAGGAGAATTGCCTGAACCCAGGAGGCGGAGGTTGCGGCGAGCCGAGATCACACCATTGCACTCTAGCCTGGGTAACAAGAGTGAAACTCCGTCTCAAAAAAAATAAAAATAAAAATAAAAATTTACTTCACAGATTTGTTGACATATAATTTTTTTTTTTTTTTTAAGACACAGGGTCTTGCTGTGTTGCCAAGGCAAGACTCAAACTCCTGGATTCAAGCCATCCTCCTGCCCTAGTCTCCCAAGTAGCTGGAACTACAGGTAAACATCACCATGCCCAGCTTTGAAGTTTAAATTTTTAAAGACACTAGAACATTTCAGTGCTATGATTGACATGTATAAGTATTCAATCAATGGCAGTTATTAAAATTGTAATTAAGTTGCTAATTAAATTAGCTGATTAGCACCCCCTCCTCCCCTTCCTCAGGGAACCCAGTTGGAGGACTAAATGAATCTTTAATAAGTAATTTTCATAGTAATAGAGTGGTGATCAATTGTCAGTTCTATTTCCCATCTTTTTTTCTTTCTTTCTTTTTTTGGAGATGGAGTTTCATTCTTGTTGCCCGAGCTGATGTGGAATGGCACAATTTCGGCTCACCACAACCTCCACCTCCCAGGTTTAAGTGATTTTCCTGCCTCAGCCTCCCAAGTAGCTGGGATTACGTATGCCCACCACCACACCCGGCTATTTTTGTATTTTTAGTAGAGACGGGGTTTCTCCATGTTGATCAGGATGGTCTCCAACTCCCAACCTCAGGTGATTCACCTGCCTCAGCCTCCCGAAGTGCTGGGATTACAGGCATGAGCCATTGTGCTCAGCCTTTAATAGGTAATTTTTATAGTAATAGAGTGGTGATCAATTGTCAATTCTATTTCCCATTTTAGGCTTCCTCATCCTCAGTCTTGCCTCCCTCCTTACCCTGTCATGCTTTTTCTTGTCCTAATATAACCCCAAACATGCTACTAATCCTTATCTTCCCTATGCTACCCTATATTCCAAAACAATTTATTTTTTCTATATAACGTTTAATTGTTCACTGAGCTTTCTAAACATTTTGTATCCCAAAGTTGGGCAAATAGAGGAATACTGTGATGTACTATCCTGCTAATAAAAGAACACATGCTCCTCCTTCTCTTCTCTCTCCTACCCTACTGTTACTGGAAAAAGGAGTCTTGGTGCAGACCCAAGAGAAGGTTCTTGGGTCTCACACAAGAAGAATTCAAGGAGAATCAGAGTGCAGTGAGAAGAGATAGTTTATTGAAAACTACCTCATTAGAGAATAGAGCGTTCTCAGAAAGCAAGTGAAGGAACGCAGTCTTTAAGTTTTTCTTGTATAAGGATCTTGTCTATACAAAGACTAAACTAAGCTGTGCCTATGTGCAGATGGGCAGACAGCATGACCAAATTTATTATGGTATTGATTTAAAGAAACCCCTCCTTGACATTCTACTGTGTGGGTACATCAAAGCATAAGTAACTTGAAAAAAGCATAATTATCTTGAAAGCAAATCTTGTTATGGGTATTGGGACATCTGGACTTTCTGTTTTTGTGTAAGTCTGTCCTTGCAGGTAATCTTTAGGCTCTTTCCTCAACTATAAAGATCTTATGATCTTGGGTCATCCCTAGCAAGGAATGTGCCTTGCTAGTTTTAAGATGAAGTTGGCAGGGCACAGAGGCTCATGCGTGTAATCCCAGCACTTTGGGAGGCCGAGCCGCACGGCTCACAAGGTCAGGAGATTGAGACTATCCTGGCCAAGATAGTGAAACCAACCCCGTCTTTACTAAATTTTGTAAAAATACAAAAATCAGCCAGGCGTGGTGGCAGGCACCTATAATCTCAGCTACTTGGGAGGCTGAGGCAGGACAATTGCTTGAACCTGGGAGGTGGAGGTTGCAGTGAGCCGAGATCATGCCACTGCACTCTAGCCTGGGCAACAAAGCAAGACTCCATCTCAAAATAAATAAATAAATAAATAAATAAATAAATAAATAAATACAAGATAGAGTTAATTAGCTGGGTGCGGTGGATCATGCCTGTAATACCAGCACTTTGGGAGGCCAAGGTGGGCAGATCATCTGAGGTCAGGAGTTTGAGACCAGCCTGGCCAACATGGCGAAACGCTGTCTCTACTAAAAGGACAAAAATTAGCTAGGCGTGGTGGCAGGCGCCTGTAATACCAGCTGCTCAGAAGGCTGAGGCAAGAAAATATCTTGAATCCAGGAGGAGGAGGTTGCAGTTAGCTGAGATCACACCACTGCACTCCAGCCTGGGCAACAGAGCAAGACTCTACCTCAAAAAAAAAAAAAAAAAACAAACATGGAATTTATTTTAAAATGGCCTTACTCTGGCTCTCCTAGGCTCCTGCTTCTCTAACACTTATGACAAGGAGTTAAGGTTGCACTAGTGCTGACCCCATAACTCTACACATTGATTGCCATTCAAGCTCTAGAGAGGGGGAAAAATACTAAAAAACAAGGAAAATATACATTATATTTGTATCTCTTTTGGGGAACCCTTCTCTCACACACTGCCACATTCACAGACTTCCAGTCACCTTATCGTATTTGAATTGTGTTACAGTTCTCTTTTAGTGAAAGTCTGTTGTGATAACCTTGTCTTTGTTTTTACTTTCACTCTTTATTGATAGTTCAAGTAGGTGTAAAATTCTTACATTGTAACTTTTCAGTCAACATTTTAAAGATATTAAAGGTGACTGTCTTAAGTCTAATTGAAGTTCCATTGTAGGTAATCTATCTTTCCCCTTGGTTAGCTTTAACACATTTTCTGTTTTCAGCTTTTATACGCTTCCCTACAAAAATATTTACATCCTGATCAGGACTCACCAGCTTTCCCGAATCTCAAGATTCCTGCCTCCCAGTAATCCTGGAAAATTATCCACCATTATCTCTTCAAGCATTGCCTTCTTCATCTCCCTTTCCTCTTGGAAATCTTTTTTTTTTTTTTTTTTTTTTTTTTTTTGACACAGAGTTTTCACTCTTGTTACCCAGGCTGGAGTGCAATGGCGCGATCTCGGCTCACCGCAACCTCCGCCTCCTGGGTTCAAGCAATTATCCTGCCTCAGCCTCCTGAGTAGCTGGGATTACAGGCACGTGCCACCACGCCCAGCTAATTTTTTGTATTTTTAGTAGAGACGGGGTTTCACCATGTTGACCAGGATGGTCTCGATCTCTTGACCTTGTGATCCACCCGCCTCAGCCTCCCAAAGTGCTGGGATTACAGGTTTGAGCCACCACGCCCGGCTCCTCTTGGAAATCTTTTTACATATAAGTTAGATCTGCATTCTCCAGGACAACAGTCACTGGCCACACATGGCTGTCAAGTACTAGCTAGTCCAAAGTGAGCTGCGTGTGATGTAAGTGCAAAATACACACTGGGTTTCAAAGACAATAGGAAAAAAGAATATAAAATATTTATTCATGATTTTTTTTTTTTTTTTTTTTTTTGAGACGGAGTTTCACTCTTGTTACCCAGGCTGGAGTGCAATGGCACAATCTCGGCTCACCGCAACCTCCGCCTCCTGGGTTCAGGCAATTCTCCTGCCTCAGCCTCCTGAGTAGCTGGGATTATAGGCACGCGCCACCATGCCCAGCTAATTTTTTGTATTTTTAGTATAGACGGGGTTTCACCATGTTGACCAGGATGGTCTCGATCTCTTGACCTCGTGATCCACCCGCCTCGGCCTCCCGAAGTGCTGGGATTACAGGCTTGAGCCACCGCGCCCGGCCTATTCATGATTTTTATATCACATGATGAAATAATATTTTGGATTAATTTCATGTGTTTCTTTTTACTTTCTGTTAGGTTGGAACTAGAAAATTTTAAATTATATATGTATGTATGTATCTCATACTATATTTCTGTTGGACTGTGTAAGACTATCTGCTTCTCTTTTCCATATCTTTCATGTTTTCTATCTCCTTGTCTCTGCATACTACATTACAAGAAATTTTCCTAAATTCATTTGGTTGTTTACTGGATTATATTATCAACTCTTTCTAATCTGCTACTTAATCCATCTGCTAAACTTGCTTCGTTTTGTTTTGTTTTGTTTTCCAGACAGAGCCTCGCTCTGTTGTCCAGGCTGGAGTGCAATGGTGCAATCTCGGCTCACTGCAACCTCTGCCTCCTGGGTTCAAGCGATTCTCTGGTTTCAGTCTCCTGATCAGCTGTTACTACAAGTGCACACCGCCACGCCTAATTTTTGTTTGTTTGTTTGTTTGAGACTAAGTCTCACTCTGTTGCACAGCCTGGAGTGCAATGGCGCAATCTTGGCTCAATGCAAACTCTGCCTCCCAAGTTCAAGCGATTCTCCTGCCTCAGCCTCCTGAGTAGCTGGGATTACAGGCGTGTGCCACCACAGCTGGCTAATTTTTGTATTTAGTAGAGACCGGGTTTCACCATGCTAGTCAGGTTGGTCTCCAACTCCTGACCTCGTGATCCGCCAGCCTTGGCCTCCCAAAGTGCTGGGATTACAGGCGTGAGCCATTGTGCCCGGTACATTCACTAAACTTTAGTGTTAATCAAATTAAAACGTATTTTTTGGTCCTCCCACGGACTGTGACACTCAGCACGGAGCCGCAGGGGTGGCAGTCTGGAGTCGGAGTCGTGGTGACCAGCTGCAAGTATTCACGTTTCGTCCTCCTGGGGAAGAGGAAAGGGTCTTTCAGAGCCAGTAGTTTCCAGCTCCTTGGGGGTCATCTGGAGTTACGTGAAAGCTGGGAAGAATGTGCTCGAAGGGAAACGTGGGAAGAAGCTTTTCACCTGAAAAATGCTCGCTTTGCCTCAGTTGTAACTTCTTTCATTGGGAAGGAAAATTACCATTATGTTACTATATTAATGAAAGGAGAAGTGGACGTGACTCATGATTCAGAACCAAAGAATGTAGAGCCTGAAAAAAATGAAAGTTGGGAGTGGGTTCCCTGGGAAGAATTTCCTCCACTAGACCAGCTTTTCTGGGCCCTGTGTTCTTTGAAAGAACAAGGCTATGATCCATTTAAAGAAGATCTGAACCACCTGGTAGGATGCAAAGGAAATCATCTCTAGGGAGCTGAGAAGATTTCTTGATTTTCTTTAAAAGTCAAAAATAAGATCGGGTTAGAGAATGAAAAATATCTACATTTCGGAACAACTCCATTTGATTTATAAAAGTTCTTGTGATCACCAGTTTATTTCCAGTCTCTTGATGTACCCACCACCCTTCCAGCCAGTACTTGAGAACATTTTTTTGAAATATGTAATTGAATTGTATTTCAGACACAGAATATATGATAAATAATGATATTATTTATGGGTAATCTGCTTTCCATGTTTATCTGTGACATTTACTGTGCAGTTTGTCATTACTAGCTTGCATGGAATAGGATGCTGTTGAATTTGCCTTAGTGTTCTGTTCAAATAGAAATCCAAATTCAAATATTGTAGTTTAGATTCAAACACAGTATGCCTATTGCAAAATTTACCAAGTTTGTTGATTTACTTCTTTTATTTAAAAAAATTGGGTGGGGGGTAATATATTATGACAGTCTTTGCAACTTACAGGGAATAGGACAGGCCATTAGGGTGTATTTCCCAAGTTTCCAATTGAGAACCTAAACCAAGAGAAGTGACATAAACCATCTAATATCCTACCATGAGCAGGCTGTGAGAGTGATTTCTCACTTACTCTCTGTCGCCAGGCTGGAGTGCAGTAGTCCAATCTTGGCTCACCGCAACCTCTGCCTCCTGGGTTAATGCAGTTCTCCTGCCTCAGCCTCCTGAGTAGCTGGGATTATAGGCGCACCACCGTGCCCAGCTAAGGATGGTCTCCATCTCCTAACCTCATGATCTGCCCACCTCAGCCTCCCAAAATGCTGGGATTACAGGTGTGAGCCACCATGCCCGACTCTCACTTCCTGTCTCTGAGGCCCAGGGTCCTTATATGTAAAATGAGGAGATTCATCTAGAGCAGTAGTTCTCAAAGTATTATCTGGGGGTCCTCAAGAGCCTTTCAAGAGTATTCTAGGTAAAAACTATTTTTATAATACCAACACATAATTTAGCTTTTTCACTCTATCTCTCTCTCTTTTTTTTTTTTTTTTTTTTTTTTTTGAGACAGAGTTTCACTCATGTTGCCCAGGCTGGAGTACAATGGTGCAATCTTGGCTCACCAGAACCTCTGCCTCCTGAGCTAAAGCAATGCTCCTGCCTCAGCCTCCAGAGTAGCTGGGATTACAGGCATGTGCCACCACGCCCAACTAATTTTGTATTTTTAGTAGAGACTGGGTTCTCCATGTTGGTCAGGCTGGTCTCGAACTCCCAACCTCAGTTGATTCATCCACCTTGGCCTCCCAAAGTGCTAGGATTATAAGCATGAGCCACCACGCCTGGCCTCCACTCTCATTTTTTCTTGAGTATGCAGAGAAATTTTTGAAAAGCTATCTGGTGTGATATTGTAACAGGCTAAATATAGAAGCAGATATGAGAATCTAGCTTTCTTCTACTGTCAGAAATTAGATTCACAAAAATGTAAAGCAGTGCAACTCTTCTTACTAAAGAATTTTTGTTGTTTAGAAAAATAAGCCGGGCACGGTGGCTCACGCCTATAATCCCAGCACTTTGGGAGGCCAAGGCGGGTGGATCACGAGCTCAAGAGATCGAGACCATCCTGGTCAACATGGTGAAACCCCATCTCTACTAAAAAATACAAAAATTAGCTGGGCATGGTGGCGCAGGCCTGTAGTCCCAGCTACTCGGGAGGCTGAGGCAGGAGAATCACTTGAACCCAGGAGGCGGAGGTTGCAGTGAGCCGAGATCCTGCCATTGCACTCCAGCCTGGGTAACAAGAGTGAAATCCCATCTCAAAAAAGAAAAATAGTCATTTTTCATGAGTCTTAATATGCGAAAAAAATAGCTATTTTTCTTTTTTTTTTTTTTTTCTTTTGAGATGGAGTTTTGCTCTTGTTGCCCAGGCTGGAGTGCAATGGCACGATCTCAGCTCACCACAACCTCTGCCTCCCGGGTTCAAGCAATTCTCCTGCCTCAGCCTCCCAACTAGCTGGGATACAGGCATGTACCACCACACCTGGCTATTTTTGGATTTTTAGTAGAGACAGGGTTTCTGCATGTTGGTCACGAAGGTCTCAAACTACTGGCCTCAAGTGATCTGCCTGCCTCGGCCTCTCAAAGTGGTGGGATTACAGGTGTGAGCCCCTGCACTCAGCCAAAAATAGCTATTTTTCAAAAAAAATTATTTATGGCCAGGCACAGTGGCTCACACCTGTAATCCTAGCACTTTGGGAGGCCAAGGTGGGTAGATCACCTGAGGTCAGGAATTCAAGACCAGCCTGGCCATCATGGTGAAACCCCATCTTTAAAAAGAAAAAAAAGAAAAACAAAAAAATTATTTATGTTAATACATATTGGGCTTTTGTTACTCATAAATGATTAATAAAAATTTTAAGAAAATAAATAAATAAAACATATTTTTTCATTCCTACAATATTGGTTTGGTCCTTCTCTAAAGCTGACCTTTTTCAAAGTATCATATTATTTTCTTATGCTTTGTGTTCCTTCTTTTGTGTTTTTAATTCTTTAAAACAAAGTCTCTAATCTGTTTCTGACCATTATTGCTGTTCTTGGGAGCCTGATCCTACAGTTTGTTGTGTCTGCTGACTCTCCCTCCTGCAGGATTGTTTTCTCGTGTGTTTGTAATTATGGATTATAAGCTCATCTTCAACGGGGTTTTATCTTTGTTATTCCTAGGAGATCTGGGTTGTGTTTGCTTCTGCAAACGCATTTCAGTATCATGGGTTCATAACTACATTTATGTTAGTTTACAGACTTTGGGGAATTTCTACACTACAAAGATAATATGATTTAATCCCTAATGTGGTTTTAGATGTGTGTCTCTGCCCAAATCTCCTGTTGAATTGTAATCTCCAGTGTTGGATGGAGGTGGAGCCTGGAGGGAGGTGACTGGATCATGAGGGTCGATTTCATGAATGGTTTAGTACCATTCCTTGGGGCTATCCTCAAGATAACGAGTGACTTCTTGCAAGACCTGGCTGTTTAAAAGTGTGGCACCTTAGCTGGGCATGGTGGCTCACACCTGTAATCCCATCACTTTGGGAGGCCAAGGCAGGCGAATCACTTGAGGCCAGGAGTTTGAGATCAGCCTGGCCAATATGGTGAAACCCCATCTCTGCTAAAAATACAAAAATTAGCCAGGCATGGCGGTGGGCACCTGTAATCCCAGCTACTCGAGAGGCTGAGCAGTCTAAAACAATATAAAATGAAAAATAAATAAAAATAATGGGCTGGGTATCATGGCTCATGCCTGCAATCCCAACACATTGGGAGGCCGAGGAGGGTGGATCACAAGGTCAAGAGATTGAGATCATCCTGGCCAACATGGTGAGACCCTGTCTCTACTAAAAATAAAAAAATTCGCTGGGCGTGGTATCATGTGCCTATAGTCCCAGCTACTCGGGAGGCTGAGGCAGGAGAATCACTTGAACCTGGGAGGCAGAGGTTGCAGTGAGCTGACATGGTGCCACTGCACTCCAGCCTGGTGACAGAGCGAGACTCTGCCTCAAAAAAAGAAAAAAAAATTGTGTGTGTGTGTGTGTGAAAAATAAAAGTATACCACCTTGCTCTCTCTTGCTCCAGAGCAACAAAGCAAGATTCCATCTTTTAGAAGAAGAAAAAGAAAGGAGGAGGAGGAGGAGGAGGAGGAGGAGGAGGAGGGGGAGGAAGAGGAAGAGGAGGAGGAGGAGGAGGAGGAGGAGGGGGAGGAGGAGCGGGGGGGGGGGGGAGGAGGAGCAGGAGGGGGAGGAGGAGGAGGAGGAGGAGGAGGAGGAGGAGGAGGAGGAGGAGGAGGAGGAGGAGGAGGAGGAGGAGGAGGAGGAGGAGAATGCTATTCTCATCCCCAGATCCTACACAAAAAGGAAGTCAAATTACCCGGCCAGTGTGAGATTTTCCAAAACTTACCAATTACCTTACAATGTCCCCACACATCATGGTTAGTCACTGATAAAATCAGTATCTGAATTCCACAAAACCAACCAGAGAAAATCACTAGGCCATGTTAACACATGCCTCCCACCAGGTGTTGTTATGGAACATATATGTCATGCAAAGGCCAGCCCTAGTGAAAAATCGTGTCTTGGCTTTGTAAGGTGATAGCAGAACCTCTGGATCACCACGGAAGCTAGCTTTCCCTGACAGGATAGTAGAGTTGCTCGAAATCATTCCATTACCACATTGAGTAGAAATCTTCTGTTAGAATCAATTATCAGAATAAAGGGATCCCATTCCAAAAGGAAACAAACCTCTAACAAAGTTTTTGTTACAGTGTTTAGAAGGTCAAGTTCATATGAAGTAAGACATTCTACACAACCTACAAAAGAATCTGCAGTAAATGTGGATACTTTTCTTTGGTATACAGAATTATGTCTGTGTAATTAATACAAATGCAGTATTTTTATTTTTTATTTTTTATTTTATTTTATTTTATTTTTTGAGACGGAGTTTCGCTCTTGTTACCCAGGCTGGAGTGCAATGGCGCGATCTCAGCTCACCGCAACCTCCGTCTCCTGGGTTCAGGCAATTCTCCTGCCTCAGCCTCCTGAGTAGCTGGGATTACAGGCACGTGCCACCATGTCCAGCTAATTTTTTGTATTTTTAGTAGAGACGGGGTTTCACCATGTTGACCAGGATGGTCTCGATCTCTCAACCTCGTGATCCACCCGCCTTGGCCTCCCAAAGTGCTGGGATTACAGGCTTGAGCCACTGCGCCCGGCCCCGGCACTATTTTTTATTTTTTGAGATGGAGTCTTGCTGTGTCACCCAGGCTGGAGTGCAGTGGCACAATCTTTCGGCTCACTGCAACCTTCGCCTCCCAGGTTCAAGTGATGCTCCTGCCTGTAGCTGGGACTACAGGCGTGCGCTACCATGCCTTGCTAATTTTTTTTTTTTTTTTTTTGAGAGGGAGTTTCGCTCTTGTAACCCAGGCTGGAGTGCAATGGCGCGATCTCGGCTCACCGCAACCTCTGCCTCCTGGGTTC